GCTCAACGCATGCTGCTTCTCCTTCTGGGACAGCCACCAGCAGCAGCTTCGGGACCACACAGCTGGTGTTGCCAACAGCCCTGGACTGGACCTTCTAGGCCGGGTGACCTTGGGGAGGAGAAATACCAGGGCTGTCCTGCTCACTTGACAGGCAGGAGTGCTGGGAGAAAGAAGCACGAGTGTTCATAAAAGCTTGACACAAAGTGTGTGGGCTCCAAAAAGAATCGCCTTGCAGTTCTGATGTGGAACCAGAAGTTAGGATGTACCCCAAACCGCTCTTGTCTCTGTGTTTCCGTCTATTCTTTTCCTGGGTTTAAAAACACACACCGTATTCTTGACTAATAACCTTACCTCTATTTTTCTTTCATTCCTCTACATACTTTCATAAAAAATTTTTTAGAAGATAGCTTTTGCTGCAAGGCAAAACCTCCTGAGCAGACGTTAGACCCAAGTTTATGGTAAGACTAACGAACAAAAAGGTGTACAGACTTTATACAAACATACCGTCCCTGTTTCCCCCAGAGAGTTACTGTCACTTTGGTTACCTCCCACACCACCAGGAGACAGAAGAAACAACTTTACATATAGGACACAGGATTGGACACACAGTGGGTTAAGGGTGTGTTTCTATAAAGTCACTTTGCAGAGAGCTACAGTTACACAGTAAATAGCTGTTTGTGAAGTAAGAATTTTGAGCTGAGGCACTATTCAGAGAATCACGTTATCATTTGAAGAATCTTTTTAGTTATCACTCAAACAGTTTTCCTTCCTAATTTTGAGGAATAAAGATAACAGGGGGTGCCCATTCTCACTAGTACTTAGGACTTCACATCATGCAGGTGTTACTAATTCAGTACCCTGTGTGCATTATGTATGCCTATTGTTATTATTACCATTAATATAGGTTAAGCCACCAGATTCAGTGCAGCAGGATATGAAAGCCATGGGTTTCAAGGCAAGGAAGCTAGGCTTGCTTCTTGCACGTTTTTTTAAATGAATTTTTATTGGAACCGTGAAGACCTTCAATGAATTGGGAAGTACTTGTGAGAAAATAAACTTTTCCACTGGACCTCCATTTCCCAAGAAAAAAAATGGGTTTACATCAAAAGAATGACTTATTCTCCAACGTCTCACCAGGCTGGAGCAACTTCTGGGTCTTTCAAAGACAGCCTCATCCACTGGATAAGTTTGCTAATCACCAGAACAGAATGACAGCAGTTAATAACCTTCTTGAAGCCCAGAATAAAGGCCAGCTGGAAGAGGCCCGAACTGCGTGCTTCCTTTGACCGTTACCATCTTTCCGGCTTGGCTGTCACTGCCCACTGCCTGAACCTGGCTGCTGAAGCCAGCATGCTCTGGAGGGTGGGAAGCAGGCCTGTCCGCCACGGCTTGCAGCGTCAGGGCTGGACCAGCTTCCCAGCATGGGGAGGAGGCAACAGACTGAAGGTCTGCAAGGAAACGGGCTTTACTATCCTTAACAGGCAATTCAAAAAGTCAAAGGACAGTCTGGTATCGGGTTGGTGAACCACGGCCCATGGGCCACATGCACCCTGTCACCTGTCTGTAAATAAAGCGTGACTGGCCCACAGTTAGGCCTATTCATTAACTGTCTATGGCTGCTTTCACCCACGAAGGCAACATTATTTACCATTTGGCCCTTTTCCAAAAAAGTTGAACAATTCCAGTCTAGAACGGTGCCATCCAGTATCGTGGCCACTAGACACGTGTGTCTACTTAAATTTCCAATAACTAAAGTTAAAAAATTCACTTTCTCAGCGCTACATCTTAAGTGCTCGGCAGTCACCGGCGGCAGTGGCCGCTGCAGAGACGGCACAGAACATCGCCACCACAGCAGCAGTTCTCCCGGACAGAGCTGACGGCGAGGATTTACATCACCAGCTGAATTCACAGCCGTCAAGTTCTGGGTGACTCTTCTTCCACAGACAGAAGGGCTTACTCTAAGTCTCAAAAATACGTCCCTTTCACACTTGAACTTTTTACGATATGCAAATTCGCCATTTCAATGGCAAACCTCAGACTACTTGGTAGACAATAATGGTCGGAGCGATCAGGACAACAAATCAGTTACATGGTCATTTTCTACTTGTTTACTTGGTCCCCACCCCAGCAGGTGGTAAACTGGGAAAGCTGGGCCATAGCCCCTGTTCATATCCACGTTAGAACCCTGCCTGGCCTGCGGTACAGATCAATAAATATTTGTAAAATGATTAAGAACTGAGACCAAGGTACGAAACTGTTACACGAAAAGAGGCCACCGAACCAAATAAATGATAAGGCATTGGGGGAACACTATTGTAATCCCGCAGCAAAATGGTCTTCGAGCAGCCAACATTCCTATTGTAAAGTGATTTTTAAAAATAGATCCAAAACAAAACAACCCAACCATCTGGGTTTGGACTCTGGCTCCAAAGCTTCCAGGATGTGTGATCTTGGCGATTTTTCCTTCAGTGGGAAAGACCCCTCCTCCCTAAACGGGAAGGACAGTATATCCCACCCATCCAAGTGGGCAGGGAAGCCCAAGGCACAGCCCTCCTGGGCTCCTTCTACTCCCGGGCATCACCAGCCCCTGCTCTCCGGGGCACCCTGCCGGTGTGTTCTGGCTCCAGCCCTCTCGTGGCAGAGCTCTTACACCGGGTCTCTCCATGTAACCATTCCTCCTTTGGGACAGGGGCTGCAACCTAATCATTTTAATGACCCTCAGCACTTGGCACACAGGAGCTGCTCAATGGATGTTAAGCTAAGACTCTAAAGTCCAATAAATAAACCAAATTTTGCTAAATCTCACCTTAATAGGCTGCTCCAAAAAGTCTTTATGAGTAAATCAAGTGTTCTTCAAATTCTGAAATTAGAAATTACCCCCACTGCTCGAGTCAGAAGTTACTCCTAAGTCTCTGAAAGTTATCCCTTCTTGAAAAACCTCGTCTCTTTCAGGTTAATACACTTTACCACCTTTCCCCTGCACAACTATATAGCAAGGAACTGGCAGCGACACATCCAAACCGGCCATAATAAGGCCTCGGAATCAAAAGCAAAAAAAATTAATGAGGTTTAAGACACAACATCAAATGATTCTATTTCAGTATAAGTTCATAATTTAAAAACTAAGTAATATGTTAGGTGTCTAATAAAAACCAGAAAACACAAACCACAAGGATTTATGTTATTTACAAGTGGGTACTTTAAAAGTATAAAAATTTATATTTTATATGCAGTCAAATTACCTTACTGCTAACTCGTTTTTAAGAACTAATTTGGCCGGGTACAGTGGCTCTTACCTGTAATCCCAGCACTTTGGGAGGCGAGGTGGGAGAATCGCTTGAGCCCAGGAGTTTGAGACCAACCTGGGCAACATGGCGAAACCCCACCTCTACAAAAAATATGAAAAATTAAAGGCTGGGGATGGTGGCTTATGCCTGTAATCCCAGCACTTTGGGAGGCCAAGATGGGCGGATCATGAGGCCAGGAGATTGAGACCATCCTGGCCAACATACTGAAACCCTGTCTCTACTAAAAAAAAAAAAAAAAAAAAATTAGCTCGGCATGGTAGTGCACGCCTGAAGTCTCAGCTACTCGAGAAACTGAGGTGGGAGAGTTACCTGAGCCCGGGATGTGGGAGCTGCAGTGGGCTGTGATCATACCACTGTACTCCAGCCTGGGTGACAATGTGAGACCCTGCCTCCAAACAAACCAACAAACAAACAAAGCCGTCTAACTTAAATCAAACAATTACATTTTGTTCTTGCCCACTTGGTTCTTGCAGGTAAAATACCTGAATGTTACCTGTAGGCAACCTTTGCTTTTTACTGGGTGCACTACCAAAACGGTAAATTCACAGCCCGTGCATACAATTTGGTCATTGAATGCTGATTGCCACCTTCATTAAAGATAGTTTGGAGAGCCGGGTTCGGTGGCTCAAGCCTGTAATCCCAGCACTTTGGGAGGCTGAGGCGGGTGGATCACGAGGTCAAGAGATCGAGACCATCCTGGTCAACATGGTGAAACCCCGTCTCTACTCAAAATACAAAAAATTAGCTGGGCATGGTGGCGCGTGCCTGCAATCCCAGCTTCTCAGGAGGCTGAGGCAGGAGAATTGCCTGAACCCAGGAGGCGGAGGTTGTGGTGAGCCGAGATCGCGCCATTGCACTCCAGCCTGGGTAACAAGCGAAACTCCGTCTCAAAAAAAAAAAAAAAAAACATAGTTTGGAGAGAAAAGCAACACCCATTTCGTTCCAGCAGATTGGATATTTGTGTGCTTTTATCGTCCCTGGGTACACCCTAGGATCTGAAAAGTTTAATGCCCTTAAAAGAGATTCCGAGAAACTGTTTTGTTGGGGTGCAGCTCATAAACTATAAATTCTAAAGTGATCTGATGAAGCTTAAAATCGTTTTTCTACTTCACCCAATTATGACCAAAAACATCATATATCTTAAAATACCAAGAATAAGTAAGCTACTACTCTGATACCTACAGTTTAATATACCACGAATTACTACAGTAACTGTGCTTTTAAGCTAAGTTTTGAATGCAAAATATACATAAAAAGAGACAGACTAATTATTAAAACAGTGATCTCTACACACCTTGAAAACTTGTTGCCATTTAAAATTTTTAAAGTCAAATGGCAATGCAGAGACTATTTAAATGCAAAATATTTCCTAACAGTCCATGAAAATGCTAACATTTCAAAAATTATGACCCACAATAGATTTCAATATTTCAATGCAGAGCATATTTCTCTTTCAGGCTCCCTGGCAAGAATGAAAACGATTCTTTCAAAGGAAGTTCTTTCCCAAGGAATTGTGCATATTTTCTGAGTGCAATTCATCTTCAATTCAGAGATGTGTCCTCGACAAAACCTTTGCAGCAGTAAGCAACCCAGATGTAACAGAAACTCTGCGTACCGACAACTTGGCCCGGCGCGACGGGCCCGCCTCTCCGTCCTACCCCCACCCAATACCTTCCCTGGGCAGTGACTTCACATCCTTTGACATCAGCACAGCTTTGAAAGGGGGATGGGAGAGCGAGCAGAAAGCAGAAAAACCAGCTTTGAACTATGCATGCAAGGCCTCTTCCGAGCCTCAAATTCTGTAAGTAGTTCGTAAAATGCCAAACTGCAGTGCCACACCCAGCCTCCTCCGGTTCAGTCTGCAGCGTAAAGGGTCAGTTCTGCTAGAAAGGACTTCCTGCTTTTCTTATCGGAAGCACAATAGCCATTTATTAACTACCCACGGAAGGCTCCGATTCAGTGAGACACACAATAACTTACCTCGAATATGGAGAAGGGCCACGGGCTGGAAAGGCCCATTGGAGTTGGCCGCATCCACCACCATCCTGCTGCCCGCTTTATTACATGTCAACATCTAGACTTCAGCGGGAAAGGCAATGGGCTCCTTAAGGCAAGAAACCAGCCTCCATTTTAGTTTTAAAAAAAAAGACAAACTGAAGCTCTCTGCAGCTGGAGGGAACTGGCTGGTTCGTGATGTCAGCAGGCATGAAGCTCGCTGATTGGCCGGAAGCTGCAACTTAAAATGACACTAAAAAAAAAAAAAAAAAAAAAAAACCTGCAAGCGGAAAGAGCGTTCTGTTTGGCTGTCAGCATGCATTAAAAGCTTGGGCATTTTCCGGCTTTTTGCAGTCTTCGTTTCTCAGTAACTTTCAGGCAAAGATCCCATCTCTTAGGGGAAAGGACTGGAGGCCACAACCCTGGCCAGACTATAAACAAATGACTCTGAGGGAGCTACCAAAAAAAAAAAAAAGTGTGTGTACGTCTGCGTGAACTTCAGCATTTCCCAGTTAGGGAGCCCACAGTCCTTTTATACCCACCTGTGCGACTTCCACTGCCTAGTTCTAATTATCTTAATATCTGCATCTTATGTAGGATTCTGGCAACCAAGTTTTTTTTTTTTCCTTTACAAATGGCTATTCTAATATTACACAATTCTAATCCATTAGTTTGGACTCTTATTCAGCTTTCCTTACCTACAGGGCAAATTATTAACTTATGATCCCAAACACATTTTTTCTTGAGATCTGTTTTTTTTTTTCCCTGAAAAAATTAAGCTTAAAAACTTACATGGAAAATGAAAGGTGCTTTATATTCGATAGCTAGAAAGTGACACAAATTGAAGTATTTCTATCACTTGGCCGTGGGAGCAAAAGGCATAAAATAAAATGCAGCATGCTTATTTTTGTATTGCAAAGATGCTGACATATTAAATACTTTTTAAGTTTTAGATATTTTGTTTAAAGATATTTCACTTATTTTTATGGGGCTATTATTAAAAGCTACTATTCAGATCTTAATTTTCTATCTTCAAAAAAGGTTACTGTAAAAAGCTATTCCAAGGAGAAAAACATTCTGGAGTACTGTAGGATCCCATGAGGGGGTGTGGTGAGATGATTCCCTACAAAAATCAGTGTTATTAGTAGTTCCAAATGAAAACAAACTCTAAGATAAGCCTCTCTGGCAGGCAGAACTGAAAACATTCCTCCTTTCTTCACACCAACAAGAAAGTTTGTCCAAACGATGGCTCCCCGCACACAACTCCCCCACCCTCTTCCCCGCTTGTGAACAATGCAGAAGCCCTTTAGTTCCTAAACATAATTCATAGGCAAGTAAGAAACACCTGAAACACAGCTAGGGTTTGAGGTTACAGCTGCAGGTTCGGTGCCAGATGCATTCAACGAGTAAGGGAGCTGCTGCCACCTTTCAGGACTGCCTCACAAGAAGGAATGGAGCTCTCATTACGTGCACCAGTAGCAATTAAAGTAAATAAATAGATAAAAGCAAGCCAGATCCCACCCTTCCCTCTCTTTCCCCAGAGCTGACAGACACTGCTGGATTCCATGGCTGGCCAGGAGATGATCTGATTTCTAGCACGAGGGCAGCGGGCACCGCACCACCTGAGCAGGATGCCGGCCTCACACCTGCCCTGGCTTCGCTGCTATCTGAACGGCAAATGTAATTTTTTTTAAAAAAGGAGGGGGGGGCACATGCTTTCAGTTGGGTAACAGAAATTTAGATCTTAGCTGCCCTCTTGCCTCTGAGCCTTCACTGCTGACCTCTGGGTTGTCTGTCTGGAGGGGACACCAATGACCACTATGAAGCACTGACGCCGAACCTCACTGCCACACACCCCGGGCCTCCTCCTCCTCCGAGTGATGCCAGATGAACTCAGCCACAATTAGGAATGAGGCATTCAGGGGCTTAGGAAGGAGCCAGGAGCAGATGCTTATTGAAGATCTGGGCTTTAAAGAGACAGAGACCTGCCCTCCAATGATTTAATATTTCATACAAGATAAGATGAAAAAATGTGCCTGTCCTAAGACTGTGCTGATGAATGGGAACAGAGAAATAAGGGGAAGGATCCTAAGAGCTTTATATATATATATAATATACGGAATAGGAGAAGAAACAGTGAAGACACTTTTTGATGTATTTTTCCTAATGATCTCAGATCAAAGGATCTCGCCTTTATTAGTGATTTACCCCACGCTGTTTCGAAACCTTATGCATGTAAAGTGGTTCTTTAAAGAACTCCAAAGCTGTTCTGGCCATCACTGATAAAACAGACTCTAGGATAGAAATAAATAAACAAATAATATGAGGGAAGAAAAAAAGACTTGATTAAAGGTAAGGTATACTTCTGAATTGGAAATGTAAATACTGTAGATATGCTGATAATATTCCCCAAACTGATCTACAGGTTTAAAGTATTTCCAATTAAAGCTCAGGTGGACCTCTATTTTCCAGGTACTTAACAAAACGATTCTAAAGTTCACCTGCAAAAATAAAAGAACAAGAAGAATGAGAACACTACTAATGGGAAAGGCTGGTCCTACCAACTCTAAAGCTGTGGGATTACTGACAGTGTGACGGGGCAAAGAGGCAGCTGAATGGAACAGAAGCCACAGCCTCAAACTGGGAACTATGTTGACACAAATGTAATATTGTAATAAAGAATGTGTCTCAGATCAGTGGAAGGGGAAGAGTTAGGTAAGTGTTGGCAATCTTGGGGCAGACAACTGATTAACCACATGCAGAAAAAGGCAGTTTAAGCCTTTTAACATCACACCAAAAGAAAGTTTGAGATGGCTGAAACAGTTAAATAAAAATAAATCAAAACCATACGCCCCAAATCCTCTAACTCTTAGAAGAAAAGGAAAGTAAATAATCAATTCTCAAGCAAAACAAAAAAAAGGAACACTTAAATACCTCTGAACAAACCGCTCAGGAATAGCGCTCACATTAAAAACGACCAATTTCTGTGGTTTGGTTTTTTGGAGGCAGGGTCCTGCCCTGTCACCCAGGCTGGAGTGAAGCGGTATGATCTCCGCTCACTGCAGCCTCAGCCTCCTGGGCCCAAGTGACCCTCCTGCCTCAGCCTCCTGCAGAGCTGGTACCACAAGCTTATGGCACCACACTTGCTCATTTTTTTTCATTTTCAGTAGAGATGAGATTTCTACAATGTTGCCTGGAATAGTCTTTAACTCCTGGGCCCAAATGGTCCTCCAGCCTCGGCCTCCCAAAGTGCTGAGACTGCAGGCATGAGCCACCATGCCCAGCCTTAAAATCATAAATTTCTGTATGTTCCCTGCAAAAGCAAGCCAAAGGAAATATAAATGCTATACATACAAGGAGTTAATAATGTTATTATAATTGAGTAAAAAACAATCATTGAAAAATTGTGCCACTATCTGCAATAGCAAAGACTTGGAACCAACCCTAATGTCCATCAGTGATAGACTGAATAAAGTCTATCAGTCATGGGGCACATATACACCATGGAATACTATGCAGCCATAAAAAAGGATGAGTTCATGTCCTTTGCAGGGACATGGATGAAGCTGGAAACCATCATGCTCAGCAAACTAACACAGGAACAGTAAACCAAACACTGCGTGTTCTCACTCATAAGTGGGAGTTGAACAATGAGAACACATGGACACAGGGAGGGGAACATCACACACCGGGGACTGTCAGGGGGTGGAGGCAAGGGGTGGGAGAGCATTTGGACAAATATTGAATGCATGCCGGGCTTAAAAACTAGATGACGGATTGACGGGTGCAGCAGACCACTGTGGCACATGTATACCTATGTAACAAACCTGCACGTTTGGCACATGTATCCCAGGACTTAAAAACAAAAAATAAAATTGTGCGAAGATACACATGAACACAGAATTTGCCATCTTCACTGTTTTTCAGCATACAGCACGTTCAGTGTCACGCTGCCCTCACTGCCATCCAGCCACGGAACTCTTCATCTTGCAGAACTGACACTCCATTCCCCATCCTAGTCCCAGCAACCACCATTCTACTTTCAGTCTCCATCAACTTGTCTACTCTAGGGACTCCGTATAAGGGGATCTTACAGCATTTGTCCTTTTGGGACTGGCTTCTTTCATTTAGCATAATGTCTGCAAGGTTCATCCATGTTGTAGCAAGTGTCAGAATTTCCTTCCTTTAAAGGGCCAAATGATATTCCGCTGGTACAGACTAAAGTTGCTGTCCACTGTGAGTAGTGCTGCCATGAACGTGGGTCTACAAGTACCTGCTGATGCCCCTGTTTTCAGTTCTTTGAGGTGTATATCCAAGCTAATTCCATTTTTATTTCTTTCCCATTCTGTTTATTTATAATTGATGCATAATAACTATACATAGTTTTGAGGCATAGCTGTAATATTTTGAGGAACTGCCATACTGTTTTCCACAGTGGCTGCGCCATTTCACATTCCCACTGACAGTACCTGGGACTGGGCGTGGTGGCTCACACCTATAATCCCAGCACTTTCTTTGGGAGGCCGAAGCAGGCAGATCACTTGAGGTCAAGAGTTCGAGACCAGCCTGGCCAATATGGTGAAGGCCTATCTTTACTAAAAATAAAAAAATGAGCCGGGCCTGATGGTGTATGCCTGTAGTCCCAGCTACTTGGGAGGCTGAGGCAGGCTGCAGTGAGCCAAGATCACATCACTGCACACCAGCCTGGCTACAGAGTGAGACTCCATCTCAAACAGGAGACAAAACAGCACCCAACAGTTCCAATTTCTCCATGAGGATACTAACACTTATTTTTTAAAACTTATTTTTAATTTTTGTGGGTACATAGGTGTATATATTTAAGAGACACATCAGGTGTTTTGATACAGGCATGCAATATGAAAGAAGCACATCATGGACAATGGAGTATTTGTCCCCTCATGCATTTATCCTTTGAGTTACAAACAATCCCATTCCATTCTTCATGTTATTTGAAAATGTTCCATTAAATTATTGTTGACTATAGACACCCTGTTGTGCTATCAAGTAACAGGTCTTATTTATTCTAAATTTTTTTCTACCTATTGACCAGCCCCCCTACCCCCCACTATTCTTCCCAGTCTCTGGTAATCATTCTACTCTCTATGTCCGTAAGTTAACCTGTTTTGATTTTTAAATCCCAGGAATATGTGAGAACATGTGATGTTTGTCTTTGTGTGCTTGGCTTATCTCATTTAACATGAAGATCTCCAGTTCCATCCATGTTGCAAATGACTGGATCTCATTTTCTTGTTCATTCATCTGTTATTGCTTCCAAATCTTAGCTATTGTCCACAGTGCCACAGACACCTCTCTGATACACTGATTTTCTTTCTTCTGGGCGCGTGCCCAGCAGTGGGATCGCTAAATCATATGGTGGCTCAACTTTCTGTTTTTTGAGCAACATCCAAACGTTCTTCATGGTGATTATACTAATTTACATTCCCACCAACAGTGTACAAGGGTTCCCTTTTCCCCACATCCTCTCCAGCATTTGTTACTGTCTTTTGGATAAGCCATTTTAACTGGTATGAGATGATATCTCATTGTAGTTTTGATTTGCATTTCTCTAATGAACAATGATGCTGAGCACCTTTTCATATGCCTGTTTGCGATTTGTGTGTCTTCTGAGAAATGTCTACTCAAATCTTTTGCCCATCTTCTAATCAGATTTTTTTTTCCTATAGAGTTGTTTGAGCTCCCTATGTATTCTGGTTATTGATCTCTTGTCAGATGGGTAGTTTGCAGATATTTTCTCCCACTCTTCGGGTCGTCTCTTCACTTTACTGACTGCATCCTTTGCTGTGCCGAAGGTCTGTAACCTCATGTGATCCCATTTGTCCCTGCTTGCTGTGGTTGACTGTGCTTGCGGGGCATTGCTCAAGGAATTTTTGCCTGGACCAACGTCCTGCAGATTTCCTCCAGTGTTTTCTTATAGCAGCGTCATAGTTTGAGGTCTTAGATTTCCTTAATCCATTTTGATTTGATTTTTGTACATGGTGAGAGAGGTCTAGTTTCATCCTTCTGCATATGAATATCCAGTTTTCCCAACACCATTTCTTAAAAATATAGACGTGCTTCAGGAATTTGCATGTCGTCCTTGCGCAGGGGCCGTGCGGATCCTCTCTGGATCACTCCAATTTTGGTGTATGTGCTGCTGCTGAAGCAAGCACTGTTTTTATTTTTAGAGACAGGGAGGGTCTTGCTCTGTCACTGTGGCTGGGGTGTAGTGGCATGATCTTGGCTCACTGCAGCCTTGACCCTCTGGGCTCAAGCAATCCTCTCACCTCAGCCTCCCAAGTAGCTGGGACCACAGGCACGTGCTACCACACCCGGCTAGTTTTTGTATTTTTAGTAGAGACGGGGGATGGGGTTTTCACCATGTTGCCCAGGCTGGTCTCAAACTCTTGATCTCGAGTGATCCACCTGCCTTGGCTCCGTTTTCTTTTTTTAAATAGTAGCCATCCTAGTGGGAGTGAAGTATCTCATTGTAATTTTGATTTTCATTTTCCTAATGATAGAGATGTTGAGGGTATTTTCATGTGCTTATTGGTGATATGCAGAAATTATATACTTTGGAGAAATTTTTTTTTTTTTGAGACAGAGTTTTGCTCTTGTTACCCAGGCTGGAGTGCAATGGTGCGATCTCGGCTCACCGCAACCTCCGCCTCCTGGGTTCAGGCAATTCTCCTGCCTCAGCCTCCTGAGTAGCTGGGATTACAGGCACGCGCCACCATGCCCAGCTAATTTTTTGTATTTTTAGTAGAGACGGGGTTTCACCATGTTGACCAGGATGGTCTCGATCTCTTGACCTCGTGATCCACCCACCTCGGCCTCCCAAAGTGCTGGGATTACAGGCGTGAGCCACTGTGCCCGGCTCCTCTTTGGAGAAATTTCTAAGTATTTCACACGTTTAAAAAATCAAGCTGTTTGGCTGAGTTGTAGGAGTTCTCTATATATTCTGGATATTAAGCCCTTATCAGTTACATGATTTTTCAAGTATCTCCTCCCATTCTGTGGCCTGCCTTTTCACCTTGCTGACTTGGCCCTTTAATGCAGAGAAGTTTTACATTTTTATGTACTCCAATTTATTTTTATTTTTGTTGCCTTAGCTTTTGGTGTCATAGGCAAGAAATCATTGCCAAATCCAGTGTCATGAAATCTTTCCCCAATGTTTTCTTCTCAAACATTACAGTTTTAACTCTTTTTGTTTTTTCTTTTCTTTGAGATGGAGTCTTGCTCTGTTGTCCAGGCTAGAGTGCAGTGGCATGATCTTGGCTCACTGAAACCTCCGCCTCCTGGACTTAAGTGATTCTCCTGTCTCAGCCTCCCGAGTAGCTTAGATTACAGGCGTGTGCCACCACGCCCAGCTAATTTTTGTATTTTTAGTAGAGATGGGTTTTCATCATGTTGGCCAGGCTGGTCTTGAACTGCTGACCTCAAGTGATACACCTGCCACGGCTTCCCAAAGTACTGGGATTACAGGCATGAGCCGCCATGCCAGGCAGGTTTTAACTCTTACGTTTAGGTGTTTAGTCCATCTTGATTAATCTTTGTATGTGTTGTGAAGGTAAGCGTCTTGCTTCACTCTTCTGCATGTGAGTACCCAGTTTTCCCAACCCCATTTGTTGAAAAGACTGCGTTTTCCCCACTGAATGGTCTAGGCACCCTTGTCAAAACTCATTTGGCCCCCTCTATGAGGGTTTCTTTCTGGGCTCATCTTTATGCCAGTAGTACAGTCTCGATTACTGCAGTTTTGCTGTAAGTTTTAAAATCAGAGTATATGAGTTCTTTCTTTGGCCTTCTTTTTTGAGACTGCTTATCCCTTTGATACTCCCTGTGAATCTTAGGATGGACTTTGCTGTTCCTGGAAAAGAATGTTGTAAAAGTTTTAATAGGAATTGCACTGAATTTGTAGATTATTTGGGTACTACTGACATCTTAACTATATTAAGTCTTCCAATCCATAAACAAGAGAGGTTTTCCCATTGATTGGTGTATTTTTTCTTTCAGTAACATTTCATAGATTGCAGTGTACAAGTCTTACAAATCTTTTCTCTCCTTGATAACTTTATTTCTATCTTACTCTTTTTGAGAGCATCGTGCTTTATTTATGGTTCTAAAATATGGGAAACTAATGCCAAAGGGATTATCCCACATACCTAGTGAAATGTTACACTTGTAAATTTATAATGAAAATACAAGTGCAAGAGGCAGTATTTAATCAGAAATAGTACGATCGTAAGAAGAATCATTCTCAAAACATCCACAGTGTCATCACGGAGTAGCATGGGTATGAATTTTTCTTATTGAAAATGGACATATAACAGTTGTGCATATTTGGAAGGGACATGTGATATTTTGATACCTGTTAACAATGTGTAATGACCAGGTCAAGGTAACTGAGGTATCTATCACCGCCGCATGTATCTTTTCTTTGTGTTGGAAACATTACAATCCTTCTCGTCTAGCTACTTTGAAATATATAATCAATTCCTCTACAATTCCTCTTGAATTCTAGCACTTATTCCTTCTGACTGTATTTTTGTAGCCCTTAACCACCTCTCTTCCTCCTTTCCTCCCCACCTTCCCTTCCCAGCCTCTGCAACCACCATTCTCCACTCTACCTCCATGACATCCCTTTTTTTTTCACCTCCCACATGAGTAAGATCACATGGTATTTGTCTCTTTGTGCCTGGCTTATTTCATGTAATACAATCTCCTCTCGTGCCATCCATGTTGCTGCAAACGACAGGTTTCTATTCTTTTTCGTGGCTGAATAATATTCCACTGTGTATATGTCCTACATTTTGTTTGGTCATTCATCCATTGATGGACACTTAGGTCGATTCCATTTCTTGGCTATTGTGAGTGGTGCCGCAATAAACATGGCAGTGCATGTGCCCCTGTGAGACGCTGATTTCCTTTCTTTTGGATATATACCCAGCAGTGAGGTTGTAGGATCATATGGATGTTTTTTTATTTCTGAAACTTCCTTGTTTCTTTTTCAGTATTGCCAAAACAAGAACATATTACTTTCAGAGCAATTACAGGTAATCTGAAATTAAAAGTGATTGTTTTATTATTCTATTTTTGAGACAGAGTCTTGCTCTGTTGTCCAGGGTGAAGTGGAATGGCTGATCTTGGCTCACTGCAAACTCTGCCTCCTGGGTTCAAGTGATTCTTGTGCCTCAGCCTCTTGAGTAGCTGAGATTACAGGTACATGCCACCATGTCTGGCTAATTTTTTGTACTTTTAGTAGAGATGGGATTTTCACCATGTTGCCCAGGCTGGTCTCGAACTCCTGAGCTCAGGTGATTTGCGTGAGGATCTAGGATGATAGGTTCCAGGATTATAGGCGTGAACCACCATGCCTGGCCAAAAGTAACAATTTTTTAAAAACACATATTTTTTTGAGACAGGGTCTCACTCTACCACCCTGGAACCTAGTGGCATGATTACAGCTCACTGAAACCTCAACCTCCTGAGCTCAACTGATCCTCCCACCTCAGCCTCCCATGTAGCTGGGACTACAGGCGCTCACCAGCATGCCTGGCTCATTTTTAAATTTTTTTGCAGGGACAGGGTTGTCCAGGCTGGTCTCAAACTCCTAGACTCAAGGGATCCACCTGTTTTGGTCTCCCAAATTGCTGGGATTACAAGCATGAGCCACCACACCTGGCCTAAAAATAATTTTTAAAAAGAGATATAGATTAAGTCGCTGCAGGGAGAATCCCTTAGTGAATACTGTCTCTTAGGCACATACTAAGAACAGAGAAAGGGCTACAATGGGAACCAAGGAAATCTGCCCCATAGGACTGAATGTGATGGATAAACGAGATCAGGTGTGTAAAAGACACAAATAAAAGTTAGCTGAAATGAGGCATGAAAAATGGAACCAACAGATTAGAGGAGGTTGACTCCCTGCCTTAAATCAGTTCTGAACCACCTGAATCTTCTCCTGTAAGTCTGTCACCTTTGCATTGAGTCTGTACGCTCACTGAAGCTATCAGGGCTCAACTGGTCTCCAGAGTACTTTCCTCACCGATGAAACAAACTCTCAGTAAATGCAACCCCGAAGAGGCTCATAATGTAACCACGTCACTCGCACTGGGACATAGTTTCATCACCTGCTCAGGAAGAGGCTAGACAGAGGGGACAGCTCAGCATGGGGAGAGGGACTGCCTTCAATAAGCTCCTGCTGGCCCTTTCCTCACCTGTAAAAAGGCGTATATGTGATCTCCCTAACCCCTCACGTTACAAGAAGCCAGCATCATATATGGAGGGCACTCCCCACACTAAGTTGACGGGGAGAGCTTGGGAGGGACTGAGGCAGGACACAACTAAACGCAGCTCCGGCCATCACAGCAAAATGCAGTAAGCAGTGGGCACTGTCCCACTAGAAAACACAGGCCATCTGCCAACAGAAAGACCCCTTCAGCTGCGGTGTGGGGATGCAGCAGAGCCTCCTGAGCAATCTCTGCTTAGGCGACCCTCATCCTGGCAAGCTTCCTCTTCCCGCCTGGTTTGTGGCTAGGATCACAAGCTCTCCCTCGGTCCAGTTCCTAGAGAATGGCTGGCATGCTGTTCCATCGAATGTCTGAATGAATGAATCAAGCAGTCGCACCCAATGCTGATCTTACAAAACCACCTTGCCACCCTTTACGCCTCTTCCCTGGAGCACATAATCAAGAGGGACACACCGTGAAATCATCTCAAGAACAGCACTCCCCACTCTCCTGAACACAGACCCCTTCCCAGGCCTCCCGTGATGCACTTGCTAAGGAGTGGACGCCTTCCACTCACTACCTGTGATCACGCCTACCCGCCTTCTGCGCTGGGCTCACAGCAGTGTCCTGAAGCTCTCCTGAGGCTGCGGCTGCATGTGAAGGGCTTGAGCGAGGACGGAGGAAGGGCGCTCTGCTGGGCCTGGCCCACCTAGCGTGCCTTCCACAGTTCAATGGGCCAGCAAGCCCACAGTGCTCAGTGGTCTCCCGTCGAATGCTACAACTGCAATAATCTTTGGATTAGACAGTAATGAAGGTTTGAAAAGAAAGAATTCTTTATTTCATATTTTTTTGGAGACAAGGTCTCCCTATTTTGCCCAGGCTGGGCTTGAACTCATGATTCTCCCCCTCCTCAGCCTAGTGAGTAGCTGAGAAGTCAGGCGCAAGCCACCGTGCTTGGCTTTAAAAGGAGTTATTCTTTATTCTTTGATCCCTCTGTCAGTTTTATTCTTTACTTAAAAACAAACTGCCGGGCCAGGTGTGGTGGCTCACACCTGTAATCCAAGCACTTTGGAGGCCAAGGCAGGAGGATCACTTGAGGTCGGGAGTTCAAGACCTCAGTTCAAGACCTCACCAGCCTTTCCAACATGGTGAAATCCCATCTTAAAAAAAAAAAAAAAATTAAAAAAAAAAAAAAAGAACTGCCTGTAAATACATCCCACTGATTTTATTTCTAGGTAGTATTTCTGAATAAAACTTTCAAATTTTCATTTCTACATTCAGGTGAAGGTTTTATTTTTTGTCTCTCCAAGCAATTTTGTAGGCAAATTAAATATGCTTCTATTTTAGTGAAGAAGTTTTATAGCAATTAACAGAAAGCTGGTGTTCTGAACCTAGAGAACTGTGACATCAAGACCACAGTGACAGGGCTGGGCGTGGTGGCTCATGCCTATAATCCCAGCACTTTGGGAGGCCGAGGCGGGTGGATCACGAGGTCAAGAGATCAAGACCATCCTGGTCAACAAGGTGAAACCCCGTCTCTACTAAAAATACAAAACTTAGCTGGGCGTGGTGGTGTGTGCCTGTAATCCCAGCTACTCAGGAGGCTGAGGCAGGAGAATTGCCTGAACCCAGGAGGTGGAGGTTGCGGTGAGCCGAGATTGCACCATTGCACTCCAGCCTGGGTAACAAGAGCGAAACTCCGTCTCAAAAAAAAAAAAAAAAAAAAAAAAAAAAAACACAGTGACTGACACTGTGCTAGCCAGCACTGTTTCTTTTTTTTTTTAAACTGAAAACTATATGAGCATAAAAGATATACGCTTTGTTGGGTAAGAATCTGACCTAAAAAAATTGGCTTCACTTCACAGTTTAAAATAGACTTTTTCCTTAGACAGATCAAAGATACCTAGCATTCAGCTATGTTCAAAGGCTGCCAGGGAACTTCTGGCTTGCCAACAGCAAGGACACGGGGACAGGCACTTGTTGCTGTGTGAGCGAGGCCTGTGAATGATTAAAGAGGACGGACGAGCTTGTCCACAGGGAAGCTCAGCGTAGGTGAGTGGAGCAGATGAAGCGAAATCTACCCAGAGCACTGGGCTGCATGTGAGACCTTGGCTTACTTTTGTACTTCCTACAGCTAGTCTGGAAAACCTTTCAGTCCAAAGTAAGTACTCACACTTCTTCCTTGTTCTAAGAACACGGGGAACCGACGTGAAGTGAAAGTACGCATACGTCGGACTGCTTTCGTGCTAATTTTGTTTTTAATTTGCTGACACCCTCAGAAACCTACACAGTAGGTCAAGTGAGTCAGAAGCCTCCTTTTGCTTCTGGAATTCTAAGGTGGAGGGAGGTGAAGGGAGGAGTGTGCCTGGCTGGGATTTTGGCCACCCCACGAGAGGTGGCAGCACAACCATCTCTGTGAAAGTGAAGGGGGCAGAGAAAGAGGGCCGAGGGGCTAGGAGGGCTTTTCATTCCTTTGCGGGACACACTGTATGTTTCCTGGGTCCTTGGCAGGTGCTCGAATGGACAACACAGGCAGACAAGCACACAACTGTTAACATGTGTACTGAGTGAATGTGTGTGACGTGCTCTGCAACCCACGCGCCCATCCACTCATGAGGGCACACACGTGTCCCGCTGGTTCCCTGAGGGCAAGGGCCACCTTGGGTCATCGATCTGAACACTTCCCCTTGCTCTGAGCAGCACAGATGTGAACTGCCTCACCAATCCAGGGACTGTGTCCTCTCATTATCACAGGTAATCATGAGAAGACACAAAAATCAAAAACATGTGAGAGAAGAAAAGACTAATGAAAGCAGAGGTTCATTTGGCTGTTTCTGAGACAACCAGAAGAGCAGCAAGCACTCCGGCAACTTCCACGCAGTCCATTTTTATTATTCTTCCACTAACAGGCAAGAAGCCAGAGCTCCTGTAAATATATGCATAATTCATTTGTAAGCAGTCAGACCTCTACTTTTATGGTAAGACTTCCAATTGTATCAAACAATAGGCAGGGCGCAGTGGGGCTCACGCCTGTAATCCTAGCACTTTGGGAGGTGGAGGTGGGTGGATCAGTTGAGCCCAGGAGAGTTCGAGACCAGCTTAGGCAACATGGCAAAACACTGTCTCCACTAAAAAATAGAAAAATTAGCTGTGCATGGTGGTGTTCACGTGTGGTCCCAGCTACTTGGAAGGCTGAGCTGGGAGGACCGCTTGAGCCTGGGAGGTCCAGGCTGCAGTGAGCTGACATCGTGCCATCACGGACCTAGTCTCAAAAAAAAGAAAATAAACTGCTTTGAATGAGGGCAAAGTATTGTATTTGCACAAGAAGAGAGCAAAACATATAAAATATTTAACTGTTATTCAAAAGCCAATTTTAAACAATTCAAGTAAATTCTAACAATAATATAACAACTTCTTTTACAAAAGGCCAACTCTTCTGCCCTGGGGTCTCTGGTTAATTGATAAGAAGCCCTACATGATTCCACTGTAACTGACTTCTCCCAGCCTTTTATTTCCTAAAAACGGCCTTAAAAATCCATGACTAATTCACTCCTCCGAGAAGTGTCTTTAAAAAGGGTCTCTTTCCTTAACACTTCACACTTCCACCTTATAGTCCAAACTGTTAAATGAAGGCATTAATTCAGAATAATCTTTCAATGAACAGGTCTGAAGGCTACATTCAACCTCACTGTTTTAAAAAGATAAAAATATGAAATACCATTTTCTACTTATCAAATAACTAAAACTTTTTTTTTTTTTTTTTTTTTTAAGACAGAGTCTCACTCTGTCGCAGCCTCCCGAGTAGCTGGGACTACAGGTGCACACCACCATACCCAGCTAATTTTTGTACTTTTTAGTAGAGATGCGGTTTCACCATATTGGCCACTGGTCTCTAACTCCTGACCTTGTGATCCTTCCGCCTCCGCCTCCTAAGGCACTGGGATTACAGGTGTGAGCCACCATGCTCGGCCGTCATAACTGAAACTTTTACATGATCTCAGCATTGAAGAGGTATGATGACAGGCATCTCATACACTCGCTGGGGAGAGTATGTGGTGCCACTCTCTGGAAAGTGTGAGGATAGTATCTGTTAAGGGTTTCTGAAAATGCCTGCTTTTTGATCCAGTACTTCCTCAATCAGGCTTAAGGAAAAGTTCAAAGATGTGACCAGCAATAACGAAAGATGAACAGAACACCACATTTATATTGGCTGAAAACTAGGGTACCCACAGAGTGAACTTGTGAATAGTTGCTAAAAATCATGCCTCCTATTCCCACGAATGTCAGAAACAAGACAAGTATGCTCACTCTCACTGCTACCATGTAACATTTTACTGAAATTATTTTACTGAGTTATTTGTCAGATGGAGAGAAAGACATGGGAGTTTACAATTAGGAACAGAGGTGAAATTATGTGCAGTGCTCTAATTAATCCACTGAAAAACTGATGCAGACAATGAGGTAATTCGGTAAGTGCAGGTTATGAAAGCAAGTCCCAAATCTACAGCCCTCACAGAAACAACTAGTAACTAGAACGCAATGGAAGAAAAGGCCCCATTTACAACAGCAGTGATAATTAATCATCTACGCACTAACTAAGTAAGAGATGTGCAAAGTCTACAAGGGAAACTTAAAAACAGCCTCAAAGGACACGAGAGTGGCCCTGGAAACAGTCATGGCATACTCTTGCAGGAGGCAAACATCACAAGCTGCCAGCCCTCTCTCAGATATTTTCAAAATGTAACAGGATCCCAATAAAAATGCCAGCCGTAGCCGGGCATGGTGGTGCATGCCTGCAATCCCAGCTACTTGGGAGGCTGAGGCAGGAGGATCATTTAAGCCCAGGAGTTCAAGACCAGCTTCGGCAACATCGTGAGGCCCTCTAAAATACATACATGAATAAAAATGTCACCAGCTGTTTCTGTGATGATTAGGGTTCAAATCAAAGTTCCAACTGTTTGCAATAATATCAACACTGTTTTTGGGAACTGTTTAAGAGAATGTACCCATAATTACATGAGTGCTGCTAGAAATCAACATTTTCCATGTAAGACAGAGATAAAACTATGAAAACCACGCATGGCCTGCCCTGCACCCCCATCCTGTGCCCATTAAAACCCCAGGCTCAGCTGGCAGACAGAGGAGAAACAACTGGACATTAGAGACTACAGTTGGATGTTGGAAAGCAGCAGCTTGACTTCAGAGGGAGAGCTTGATGGCTTAATTTCAGAGAAGAATCTGATTGGAGACCAGCCAGACTTCAGGGGAAGACCTTTCTACTCTATCCCCTTTTTAGCTTCCCTTTCTACTGAGAGCCACTTTCATTGGCAATAAAATCTCCTGCAATAAAATACCATCTTAAATTCGTTTGTGCAACCTCATTCCTCTTGGACGCTGGACAACACCTCGGGTGCCCTGAGTGCAGGTATAAAAGGCTGTCACACTGCCCCCTTCACTGAGCTGTTAACACTTAAGCTGTCCACAGACGGCAGAGCTGAAAGAATAGTGTAACATTTCCTCTGGGGCTTCAGGGATCACAGGGACCCCCCAAGATGCTGCCATGGGGCCGATATGGGGTTTGCTCCTGCTGGTGCCCAAAAGTGCTCACCCTGGCTCCTGTACCAGCTCACCTGCACTCCCTATCCCATGACAGGTGGAGCAGTGAATAAGTGGAGTTTGCTCCTGCTGGTGCTGAAGAGGCCAGCTCGTTTCAGCACCCATGCACTCTAGTTCCCGCCCATGAAGGGGTCAGGGAAATATCCTGCTTCAAAAACACTATAATGTTAAAATTAAATTTAAAATTTCAATATGAATGCATAATTCAGAAAATTTATATATTAGCTCCCTCCATTGAAAGCATTTAAAAGTAATGTCAGACCAGTAGCAATTAAGCATTCCTGTCACCGAGATTTTGGTTGCTAAAATTTCTGTAAAGAACCAAGACTCTTTGAAAAATGGCTGATTTGTCCAGGTGTGGTGGCTCATGCCTATAATTTCGGCACTCTGGAAGGCCAAGGTGGGTGCATCACTTGAGGTCAGGAGTTTGAGACCAGCCAGGCCAACATGGTGAAACTCCATCTCTACTAAAAATACAATTAGCTGGGCATGGTGGCAGGTGCCTGTAATCCCAGCTACTTGGGAGGCTGAGGCAGGAGAATCACTTAAACCTGGGAGGTGGAGGTTGCAGCAAGCTGAGACTGCACCACTGCACTCCAGCCTGGATGAGACAGCAAGACTGTCTCAAAAAAAGAAAAGAAAAGAAAAGAAAAATGGCTGATTTAAAGTCGAGGGAAGAGAAGATACACTGTGTCAGAAATCAAGGAATCAAAAATAAATGAGGCTACATAAAAAAACACAGAGTATCGACCCTAAAGGGCACTCCATGATTGAAATTATGCCGTCTGAACACACGACTAATGATTTTACATGATTTCAGTACACAAAAACACATTGAAATCAACAATAATACATTAGTCCACAATGACATTAAAACAAAGAGAAAGCTAGAAAAAGCTTCGGCTGTTGCCTTTAGAGGGAACTGGTAATAAAAGACAGAGAATGAAGCTTATCCTTCTTTTTCGGTAGGAGCTACATTTCAAGATAACCAAGTACCTGTGGTTGGTAAGAAAAATCACTGCTTTCAGAAGAATGTCGGAGTTAAATGCTGAATTCTCTAGTGAAACTACTGACTCAGGCAAAGATTATCAACTGTTTTTCAAGACATTAGCATATGGTTGATAGGGAATACACATTGGCAGGACGCCAAAATATACATTGTAGATTATTACTAGTACTTTTTGAATTCTAAGGGAAATATGTAATTGTTCAATAGAGATATCGATCTGTCATCAACTGAATTCACTAGTAAAATTGAAAATTTAGTATCACTTCTAATGATGGGCAACCAGAGTTATGTGTCTCTCACAATGACACGATCGCCTAAGTTATAAAGCATTGCCTCTGATGTATTTCAGCCAAAAAAAGGTTTCTGTTTTCAGGAACCGCAGGGGGCTAAGTGGGATATATTGCAGAATAAGTGGCTGATTTAGGAAACCAGGGTTGAGGTTGAACGCACTCCCAGATTGGCAGTGCCTCCAGGTGTAAGGCAGATTAAAACAGATCCCTACTCAAGAAGACACTTTGATTCTAGGTTTTGATGTATTTCAAACACTGGAATGCAATGACCAGTACACAATTAAAACAAAATCAGGTACAGTAGGAAATAAGACGTTATGAACAAAATGTGACAAACACCTCAGATGGTGGCGTGACCTGACACAGGCTATAAAACAGCTGCGTTTACTTAAAGCAATGACATTTTGATGGTATGTTCAAGAGAATAGGAAAATATTTTTAAATGGCACTGCAGACTGAAGAAAGAACCAAACAGAACTTTCACAAATGAAAAAAAAAAACCCTCAAATTAAAAGCTCAGAAGAAGGTTTAACACATAGAGACAAACCTGAAGGGTTATTCTGAATAACAGAAATCGAGAAAACCCGTTTTGAAACTTTCATGTCAACTTAACAGGGTAATCAAACGTCTACTGACTGTGATAATCAAAACAGTGTGGTGTATTTGGGGCTTCACTTCTATAATAATTTATTTTTGTTGTATTTTATTTTACGATAAAGGACTCATATCTGGGATGACATACTGTTAGCAATTCCACAAGACGACAACCAACTTAAAAATAGACAAAAGACACAAACAGACATCTCATCGAAGAAGACAGACGAATGGCCAGCAGCCATATGAAAAGATGCTTAACATTTCCAGTCACTGGGAATGCAAATTGAAACCACAGTGAGACACCCTTACACACCCACGAGCGTTAAGCTAGCATCAAAATGACAGTAATAACTATTGGCAAGAATATTCCAGACACACCGGAACCCTCATACATTGCTGGTGGGAATGCAAAATAGTGCAACCACTTTGGAAAACGGTTTGGCAGTTTCTTGTTTTTGTTTTTTTTTTTCTTTGAGATGGAGTCTCACTCTGTCGCCCAGGCTGGAGGAGTGCAATGGTGCCATCTTGGCTCACTGCAACCTCCCCCTCCCGGGTTCAAGCAATTCTCCTACCTCAGCCTCCTGAGTAGCTGGGACTACAGGCACGTGTCAACACACCTGCCTAATTTTTTTGTATTTTTAGTAGAGACGTGGCTTCACCATATTAGCCAGGATGGTCTTCTTTTTCTTTTTTTGGCCAGGATGGTCTTGATCTCCTGACCTTGTGATCTTCTTTCCTTGGCCTCCCAAAGTGCTGGGATTACAGGCTTGAGTCATTGTGCCCTGCTGGCAGTTTCTTAAAAAACTAAACATGGCCGGGTGCTGTGGCTCACACCGGTAATACCAGCACTTTGGAGGGCGGAGGCAGGCGGATCACGTGATCAGAAGATGGAGACCATCCTGGCCAACATGGTGAGACCCCGTCTCTACTGAAAATACAAAAATTATCTGGGTGTGGTGGCACATGCCTGTAATCCCAGCTACTTGGGAGGCTGAGGCAGGAGAATCGCTTGAACCCAGGAGGCAGAGGTTGCTGCGAGCCGAGATCATCACGCCACTGTACTCCAGCCTGGGCGAAAGAGACTCCATTTAAAAAAACCAAACAAACAAAAGCTAAACATAAACTTACCATACAAACTAGGAATTCAACTCCTAGGTATCTACTCAAGAGAAACGAAATACATGCTCACACAGACCTCTATGCAAATGTTCACAGCAGCACTGTTATTCGTACTAGGTAAGAAACCGCCCAAAATGGTGAACGGATAAACGAAATGTGGTATATCCAGCTGACCATGATTCAGCATTAAAAAAAACAATTACTCAACACAGATGAACCTCAAAAACGTTACACCAGATGTAAAAGACCACCTATTGTCTGATTCCACTGAGGGGAAATGTCGGGAAGAAAGTCAGTCTAGAGACAGGAAACAGATCAGGTGCTTTCTGCAGGGTGCCTGCAGCTGGGCTGGGCGCGGAAATCCATGTGAATGGGCACGGGGCAACCTTTGGAGGACGATGGAAACATTCTAAAACAACTGTGGTGACGGTTGCACAACGCTATATATTTGCTAAAATAATTAAATGTTCCAGTTACAATGAGTGAATTTTAAGATATGTAAATTATGCCTCAATTAACTCTAACAAAGAGAAGTCTATGACTTGAAAAGTCAGAGAAAAAAAAAAAACCAAAGGATAGGGCTGGAAGTGATACTTAGAATGAATATGTGGCTTTAAATTCTTTTACTATTAAAAAGCAAACTAAAAATAAGTGAACTCTCTATTCAACTTAATAAATGAGGAAAAGGTTGAAATAAAAGACATGGGATAATTAAAGGTAAAAGTGGAGATGAATAATGTTGAAGACAAACAGTAACAGTCACAAGAATACATGAACTTATAAGGAGACATAACAGCACAGACGGGAAGAGATGAAAAGGCCCATTAAACAGTTGCCATGTACTACTTAACACACCCCTCTTTCTTTTTTGTTTGTTTGTTTTTGAGACGGAGTCTAACTGTCACCAGGCTGGAGTGCACTGGCGTGATCTCGGCTCACTGCAACCTCTGCCTCCCAGCTTCAAGCAGTTCTGCCTCCGCCTCCCTGATGGCTGGGTCTACATGTGTGAGCCACCACGCCTGGCTAGTTTTTGTATTTCTAGTAGAGATGAGGTTTTTCACCATGTTGGCCAGGATGGTAACAGACCCCACTTTCAAACGGACCCACTATGGAAAGAAGCTACAGATGTTTCACAGAGAAAAGCAACAGGCCCAGTGAGTTCCAAGTCATCCTTTGAACCCTGTTTCATGGACACACTCCACATTTCATTGTTTCTGAAATCCGGGTCCATCTCATCATCCCTGTCGTGAGCTGGCAGTGTGAGAGAGCTGCGGGGAAAGCTTCTGCAGACCACCCCAGAATCATCGCAAAGTGCTGGTGACAGCAAATCTTAGATGGGACAAAATACAGTCTTATGAAAAAGAAGAAAACTACAGACCAGCTCCATGTAGTAAATATGGAAGCAAATATTCTAAAGAAATTCATGTTCTAAACACTATGAAAATACACTGTGGCAAAATTGAAAAAATGCAAAGATATTTCAAAACCAGAAAAATCTGTCTACACAGCAATTATAATAGTAACATCTTAAAGAGAAAAATCATATGGCATTTGACCAAATTCAGCAGCAGTACACACCCAGCAGGCACTGGCAGAGCACCAACCAGCCTGCATGGGGTCCAGGAAGAGTCCTGTGAATGTGGACTCCAGAGCACGCAGCCTCGCAAAGACTGCTCACCAGAAACCAAGAGCCATTTTCCCATTAAATTAGGAAACGCTGAAGCCAATTACTAAAATGGGAGAAACAGGAGCACTTACTATCACCTCTGTTCTAGCTTTCATTGGTCCTACTTTGTGGCAGAAGAAAATTAAAATAACTAGTCTGTGTTGGCATAAATAGTGGAAGAAAGGTAAAAGAATCGATTGCAAGCGGACTCTAGTGGAAACATTAATTACTAAGACTGATACGAAAATGTTGGTAAGGTGATGGCAAAAGAAAATATTTAAAAACTAATCACTCTGCATGATATTAGCAAGAACCAATCAGAAGAGTGGAAATGGGAAGAAGTATAACCCAGTCACAAGAGTGACAAACAAGAGCTATAGAGTATTTAGAAATAAATGTACTGGAAAGGTAGAGATTTATAAGAAAACCATAAAATTTTACAGGAAGTCAGAAAACAAGACTCAGGGCTGGGCGCAGTGGCTCACATCTATAATCTCAGCACTTTGGGAGGCCGAGGCGGGTGGATTACCTGAGATTGGGTCGGACCAACATGGAGAAACCCTGTCTCTACTAAAAGTATAAAATTAGCTGGGAGTGGCGGCACATGCCTGTAATCCAAGCTACTTAGGAGGCTGGGGCAGGAAAATGGCTTGAACCTGGGAGGTGAGCCGAGATCTCTCCGTTGCACTCCAGCCTGGGCAACGAGAGCAAAACTCCGTCTCAAAAAAAAAAAAAAAAAAAAGAAGAAGAAGAAGAAGAAAAGAAAACAAGACCCAGAAAAATGGGGGATATGATTTCTACCATCTTCCTAGATGGATAAAAGATATCCGATTAATATGTAACTTTAATTAATTCCAATCAATTATTATTTTCCTGAACTAGATGAAATTATTTTAGTATATATACAGAAGCATTAATGTTTTAGAACAGCCAAGAAAGAATCAGAAAACAGGACCAGTGAGGAGAACTGGCTTGATCCATATGAAATTCTCCTGGATATGTGGATTTACCGTGGAGAATTTGCCCTTTTGGGGGATAGTGAAAATGTGTCACTGGAAGTATACTGCAAACATTCTTACCAGGCATAACAAGAAACGAAGGAAATGGAGGTTGAGAATAGAAAACAGACGTAGAACAGATGGAGAAAGAGGCTTGTGCAGACTCTCCTCAGAAGAGATGAAGTATGCTGGAGGCCTGCATACAGTGGTACTGGCATGGGCTCTGCCCCACCCATGGAATCATCACAGACTGTGACGAAGCTGACAATGCAAAGGTGGTTCAAAACCAGAAAGCTCTATCAACACAGCAATTATAATCTTAACATCTTGAGGAGAAAAATCGTGTGGCATTTGACCAAATTCAGCAGGAGTGCACACCCAGCATGCACTGGCTGAGGCGGGGCGGGCATGGAAAGGTGGGGCGCACGGCAGATCAAAGCCCCGGCTGTGACGGGCATTAGGGACAGGGCCAACAATGGGTAAACAAAGCCTTTTCCTTCCCTCTGACTCCGGGCCTCCCGAGGGTACCTACCTCTCTCCTTCCTGTCTCACCGATGGGTTGCTCACTCCAGAATATGGGCTTGGTTCTGTTTCTGTACCCCCAGTACCTAGAACAGCTTTCATAGACACTCAACACATATTTGCTGAATGAATGAATAGTATGAGAAAGGCGTATCCTATTTGGGAAGAGGAAGACTGATCAAAAATGACCTGGTATGCATATTATCTACCAAAAGTATAAGCCAAATACAAGCTGTATAAGAAACCAATTATCAGCCAAATACAAGCTCTATAAAATGCATGTGAGAACCTGGATTTCTAGCAAGTGGGGGGCAGAAAAATTCATCCACCCATCAATCCACCCACCCATAAATCCACCATCCACCCAGCCTCCCCTCCTCCCTCCCCGCTTCCACCTGGTACATCTGCTATCTGCTCCATAGTGTGGAAAGCATGAGAATACAGCTGTAAAGATGACAGACTGCCTGCTCTTATTGAATTCATATTCACTTTTTTTTTTTCCCTGAAATAGGATCTCACTCTGTCATCTAGACTGACACGCAGTAGCACGATCATGGCTCACTGTAGCCTTGGCCTCCCAGGCTCAAGCAATCCTCCCACCTCGGCCTTCCAAGTAGCTGGGACCACAGGTGTGTGCCACCGTGCCCAGCAAACTTTTTAATTTTTTTTGTAGAGATGGCATCTCCCTATGTTGCCTAGGCTGGTCTTGAATTCCTGGGCTCAGGTGATCCTTCTGTCTCAGCCTCCCAAAGTGCTGGGATTATAAGTGCAGGCCACTGGACTGGTCACTGAATTAATATTCAGTGCAAATTAACTGTAAACGATCCATTATTCTAAATTTAAGGTATGAAAAATGATGTTTGGTTTAGTATATCTGTCTTATATTTCAGTAGTTATAAAGGTTTTAAGAGGCTGACATTGGACTCTAGGGTCCTTACTCTGTTTTCCTTGATGGGGTTTTTTTAAGCACCTCAACCTCATAATCTAAAGGAAGACTTTCAGGGATTAAACAGCCTGAGATGGAAAGGAATGGCTGTGTCAACTGGGGGGAAATTCAGAAGTAAGAGCACGTTTTCCTGCCTAATTCCACATAAGGAACGCTTGCGTAGAGGTAATCCCCAGATGAATCACAACAAACCAAGTTCATAATGCACTGCAGCTACAGTCCTTACTCTAGAAACGCGAAGAACTTCCACTCTAATTTCTGCAGTTACCCTACTTGGAGTAATTCCTTTTGGAGCTGCTGCAGTTCTAAGACAAACGAATGACAACTTAAAAGAAAAACTGACGAACTGAACACCATAAATAAAACGGTGCTTAGTGTTTGATGCCTACACTGTGTGGTTAAACTTTTATCTTTACCTGGAATTTAAAACGTTAGTTGAGTAACTAAGTTAATGACATTCAACCTAAACAAACAAAAAACCTCAGTACAGAAAAGGACACGCTGCGAGATACAGACACAGCAAGGGAATAAGTTAGCAAGCCACCGAAACACGGCTCCTTCACTCCGACCGCCACGACTGAACTTTTAAAAGACAAATAGAAATTACCTTTTAAGGACGGAAGTTTCTGGAGTTCTCTATTATTGCTGGTGCTAAACCTTGAAGAGTTCTGCCGTTTGTCTTTCTTCACTGTGGGCTGAGAGACGGGTACTTTTATTTTAGCAGATACGGTAGACGGGACAGCAACAAGGCTGTTTTTCCTGACGGAAATTTGCTTCCAAAACAAAAACAAAAACAAATGAATATGTACAATGGTTGTATTTTATAACACTATTAAAAAGTAGAAAAAACATACACATGAGTGTTACTCTGGGGCATTCCCCTGCACATCATTCCTTAGAGTGGCTGGAGCATGGGGCTTACATCCCATCTTCAGCAATGCTAGACTGAGAGATTCAAGGTATGCCTAATTTCTTGTATTGTCCTTCAAACTATTGATTGCTAAATATTTACCACATAGGTTGATATGGCAGACTCAATAATGACCCCTAAAGATGTCAACATCCTAATTTCTGGAACTGGTGAACATGTGACCTTCCTCGGCAACAGGGACTCTGCAGATAGGATTTAGTTAAGAATCTTGAGATGGGAAGATGATCCTGGATCATCCAGGTGGGCCCAAGGGAATCACACAGGCCATTACATTACAAGAGGGAGGCAGGAGGGAGACAAGAGAAGGCAATGGGATGATGAAAGCAGAGGTCAGAGAGAGATGGAAAGATGCTACATGGCTGGGTTGGAAGATGTAGGGAAGTGGCTTCGAGCCAAGGCAGGCAGGCGGCTTCTAGAAGGTGGGAAGGGCAGGAAATGGATTCTCCTCTAGAACCTCCAGAGGCAGCACAACCCTGCTGACACCTGCATTTTGACCCCATTTCAAACTGCATGCCAGAACTGTAAGATAGTAAGTTTACACTCTTCAAAGGAGACGAAGGCAGCCGAGTAGCTCAGAAAATGACGGGTGCTCCCTGCTGGCTCAGCACTCAGCCTGGAACTCGCGGAGCAGGCCATCTAAGTACTTCCCCTGGAGCCCCAGGAAACGCTCTGCCCGAGCTGCTCTGCTGCCACTGTCCTCGGCTCCTGGTGTGTGTGCTCACCCTCAGGCTGCACTGCAGCTCCAGGGTTGGCCAACAACCCTGCGGCCAACCTGCAATGCTGCCATCTGAACTACCCAGCAGAGGTGGATAAGAGTGTGAGGATGCACGAAGCAGAGGAACCAGGGGTCCCCTGTCATTCGCACAGGCCAAAGGAGCTCACTGAGGGAGCCCGTGGAACTCAGCTGCGCTCTGGGCCCCCCAGCTGAAGGGCTCTCTGGGCAGCAAGCAGTGACCTGGCCCACAGCTGTTTGCTTTCACCACTGTCCAGCAGTGAGAGTCAACAGCTGCTGTGTCAACCATCAAGATGCTTCACATAGGCCAGACGCGGTGGATCACACCTGTAATCCCAGCCCTTTGGGAGGCTGAGGCAGGCAGATCACGAGGTCAAGAGATCGAGACCATCCTGGCCAACATGGTGAAACCCCGTCTCTATTAAAAATACAAAAAAAATTAGCTGGGCATGGTGGCACTCGCCTGTGGTCCCAGCTACTTGGGAGGCTGAGGCGGAAGAATTGCTTGAACCCAGGAGGTGGAGGTTGCCGTGAGCTGAGATTGTCACTCCAGCCTGGTGACAGAGCAAGACTCTGTCTCAAAAAAAAAAAAAAAAAGATGCTTCACATAATGCACTCACTGCTCACCCTTCTTGTCTGCCCGAAGAAAGGGAGTCTGTGTCTGCATATGTGCTCTTTAAAAAGGTGGGTGTGGTGGCACACACCTGTAATCCCAGCTATTTGCGAGGCTGGGGCAGGAGAATCACTTGAACCCAGGAGGCAGAGGTTGCAGTGAGCTGAGATTGCGCCACTACATTCCAGCCTGGGCAACAGAGCGAGACTCCATCTCAGAAAAAAAAAAAAAAAAAAAAAAAGGCTGTCACAGTCTGATACGGTTTGCTTCTGTGTCCACACCCAAATCTCATCTCAAATTGTAATCCCCACATGTTGAGGGAGGGGCCTCATGGAACACGACTGGATCATGGGGCAGTTTCCCCCATGCTGTTCTTGTGACGGCGAGTGAGTTTTCACGCGATCTGATGGCTTAGAAGCGTCTGGTAGTTCCCCCTCTCTCTCTCTCTCTCCTGCTGCCAGTAAGAAGTGCCTTGCTTCCCCTTCGCCTTCTGCCATGATTATAAGTTTCTTGAGGCCTCCCCAGCTATGCAAAACTCTGAGTCGATTAAACATGTTTTGTCTATAAGTTACCCAATCTCAGGTTTTTTTTATAGCAGTGTGAAAATGGACTAATACACACTCCATCCTGGAGATACAAACCCACCCAGTTTAGGGCCAAGGAGAGCAGACACACCAGCTCCAGCCCCAAACTGATTTGTCCTTATGACGGAATAAAATTTTCACAAGCAGCAGGACCTGCTTTACTTTCTAATACTGTGCTAGGGATGCCCGGAAGCCTTGTCTGACGTGACGGCCTGCCCAGAACAGCAGGCGGACTCTGACCTGGGAGGCAGGGGCCCCGTTTCCCTTCTCTTTCTCAGTCCGGGGCTTTTCCTCAAAATGTGCTTTCTTGGGCTATGAGCTGGACATGTGTCAGTCCTTTATCATGAAGGTCTGCGTCTTTCTTCGCTAAAAGCCCCTCCATTACCAGCTCCTCCGCAGAATCCCCGTTAGATGGTGTCTGCTCCACCCTCTCTGGGCGGCCCTGGCATTGATTTCAGTCTGGAGGAGCTGCTCCCAGGAACTGTCCTGGTTTGAGGTGTTCAGTCACATATGTGCGTGTCCCACCTCCTATTTATTTCACTATAGTGCCAGCCTAGAACTCACACTGAGGACCTTGGGTAGAGGCCAATGACAGGACTCCCCTGTGGCTTCTGACCCAGCAGGAAGGTCAGTGCATGGAAGATGACCCGGCCTGGGGGGCTGGGAGGCAAGCCGGTGGGTCCTGACTGCCACGGGGACATACCGAGGATAGGCTTCTACCCCCGAGAAAATAAGAAGTCGCCCCGGGGCACAGTTCCGCAGGAGCTCTTGGCCCTTTGGCCACTATGCCCCACTCCGGTCACGGTCACGGCCAAAGCCAGAGCAAGGAGCCACTCCGCCTGCCCCGCCCAGCCCAGTGGCCACTGCCGGCCCCACAACACCGTGACCTGGTGCTCCCACCAACTCTGAGGAGACTTATTCCATCCTGAGGGGACATCAGCTCAGGAGGGCAGGGCCTGTCTGCAGGAGACATTGTCTGTCCCTGGGAAGGTGAGGTGACCTCCCTGAGGAAGGAGCTGCCGAGCTGCCCAAAGCAGATGCCACCAAGAACCTGGGCTCAGAGAGGGAAAGAGGGAGAGAGAGAGGTGGAGGGGAAGAGAAAGGGAGAGAGGGAGGAAGGCGGAGGGAAGAAAGGAGAGAGGGAGGGAAGGAGGAACAAGGGGAAAAGACAGGAAGGGAGGGAGGGAGGGAGAGAGGGAAGGAGGGAAGGAAGGAGGAAGACAGGGAGGGAGGGAGGGAAGGAGGAAGACAGGGAGGGAGGGAGGGCAGGAAGAAGACTGGGAAAGAGACAGGGAGAGAGCGGAGGAGAGAGGGAGGGTGCCCTTGGGAGCAGCTGCCAGGGCGGGTGGGCACAGGCGAGGGTGGGAGTGGGAGTGGGAGTGGGTGCTGGGATCCAGGGGGCCGCTCCGGGATGCCTGGCCACCGCCATGGCCAGAGGACGAAGCCCCCGAGGCGAGATGGAAAGGAAACAAGAGAGCGTAGTTCGCACGTGGCGAAGCAGAAGCTTAGAGCGAGCAGCGCAGGAGGCCGGATCCGCGTACTCCGCTTCTTCCTCCGGCTCCAGGGCAGAGGCGGGACCGTGGCCTGCGGCCCCTGCGGGAGGCTCCCGAGGCCGCGCCAGCGGGAGCTGAGGATCTCCTTGGACCTGGGACCGAAGACACTCTTGAGAAAACGTGCTTGGGGCAGAGGGGAGAGTCAGATGCCCAGGAAGGCGCAGGTTCATAAAGTGGGAGCGGGGAGGCTGGGGGACAGCGGGGTGGCAGGAGGGCCCGGGGGCGCCGACAACAGGAGTGAAGCGAGCCTGGCCCCACGCACACGGCGCGCGCGCCAGCCCAGCAGCTCTGGGGCTAAAGCCGCCAAGGTCGCGCGGTGCTACCGGGAGGCGCAGGGCGGGTGGAGGCTTGGGAAGGTCTGAAGAGGTCTCTGGGCAGAGGACAGAAGCCAGGGACCCGGGAAATACGGCGGCTGTACACGAGCCCTCCTCCTGGGCGCCAGACACCCGTGGCCAGGCCAGCAGCACAGCCCGGACCCCACCAGCACTGACACTGCTGGTTCTCGGACAGCCGGCGGGGACCCTGCCTCAGCCCCGACACCCTTCTCCCTTCCTGCTCCTGCAAAGACTCCTCCGGTGATGGCACCGCAAGGTGCCTGTAGTTAGAGGGAAACGGCTGGAGAGGAAGCAGTGGCTGCGCCACACGTCATTTCATCGTCCAGGCTGCGCTGGCCCATCCTTAGCTCACAGAGAGGAGAGAGGAAAGCAGGGCTCAGGCTGTGGGGTGGGCGCCTGAAATCATCCAGTCAGTGCTGCAGCCAAGCCCAAGCCTCAGTCCCAGGACTCTGGCTCTGGGGTTGAGCCTAACGCTGGGCCCCAGCTCCCCCTTACACCCCATACCCCAGTAATTCCATGCTCCAGCCTCTCTCAAAATCCTCCCCTTCTGCAATTTGATCCTCAACGGAACGAACTGCCGCCACTTATGTGCCAAGGACTAGGTGATGTGCCACGTAAAAGTATCTTTACTGCCAGGAAGTCCAGTCTGAATCTGATCAAGCCCTGAGGTTCAAGCACCAGTTGGTAGAAAAATACAAGAGAGAGGGGAGCGCGTTAACCAACAGCAATGCCATCTGCACGCAGGGAATGTGGGGAACGGGAGGCAGCATGAGGCAGTGGCACCACCACACTTCAGCCCAGGTGAGACTCACTGTGGGCCCTGGCTGCTACAGGCAAGCTGCAACAGCCAACCTCCGCAAACATGTCCCGTGGGGATGCAGAATCGCCCCTGGTTGACTATCATATCCCTCGATTGTATGGGAACAGCCTGATTTAACCATTAAGTTGCAAGAAGAAAAAGGAGAGAAAGAACCACCACATTCCACAACCTAGCATAATGTATGAACCTGGTTTGGATGTCAGG